ATAAGCAGCCCAATTAATTTAATGATTAATTGATTATTTTTTAATACTCATTTAATAATGACCGTTTGACCAATTTACCCTTTGAACAATTGTTTATACACCAGCCCCTATATATATATATATATATATATATATATATATACATGGGCAAGTTTACATTATCCCAAGTATCTCTCTCTCTCTATATATATATAGAGGTTTAATTAAATGAGAACTAATTAGTTTGTGGTAACCATGAGGTCTCTTCTCAATCATAAATCAATAGATAAATTAAGAAATTTATAATTTTGGTAATTTTGAATTAAAATTTTAATGTAAGAATATTTTAGGTATTTTAAAACTATTCTCTCTTCTCTTTCCGTCTCCCGTCCTCCGTTGATACCACAGTATTATCATAGTGCATCTTATATGTGTTTGGGTATCACATTGAGGTCATTCGTGTGGTTGATCGGAGATGTAACACAGTGGTATCACAATGCATCGGATATGTGCTTGGGTATCATACTGTGTCTTTTGTTTAACAAAGTCAATATTTTCAGGTATCACAGTGCTATCACGGGAGGACGGTGGCCAGAGGACGGGGGACGGAGAGAGAATAGAGGAGAGGAAAAACCTAAAATGTCTTTGCATTGAAATTTTAATTCAAAATTACCAAAACTATAAATTTACTAATTTATCTATTAATTTGTGATTGAGATTAGATCTCACTGTTATCACAAACTAGTCAGTTCTCCCTTGAATGAGCACTATATATGTGTGTGTGAGTGAGAGAGCTTAAACACATGTTTTGTTAACTAGCACATAGTGGACGACCTTTCATCGCGTTCTCCAAGTCATCCATCTATCTTTTGGATGTGTATAATCATATATGACTAAACGTCTCACACACACACACACACACACATATATATATATATATGTATAATCATGGATGATTAAACGCTACATATAATCATATATGATCTTTAAATTCCTCGTGCTTTTGTAAATTGATCAAATTCTCGCTCGATCCCTTCCTATATATATATATATATATATATATACACACACACACACATATATATATATATATATATATATATAAAGAGAGAAATTTCGGTTCAAATAAGAACCGTAAATATCCCGAAAACTAGGAAATTAAGTTTTGTAATGTAAGTTTATTGTTAAATATAATAAGTAAATTCATAAATAAATAAAAATATGTATTATAATCATCAACAATATATATTCATGATTTAAATCTACCATCGTCAAAAGTTATTTCCACATCAAATCAAAATGGCAATAAATAAGTTGCTTAAACTCCACTTTTCTTGCACATTTGCCAGATCCGAGTAATTAACACAAACACCAAAGAATATGGAGTACGTTTTGGGAAGTGCTACTTTTCATTTAAAACTTCACGCCATTTGCACATTCAATGCCTAAATTAATACATTTTTAGTATTTATTAGACTCATATTTTATTTTTTTAATTACCTCACAAAACTTTAAGTGTTTGATCGAGCTTATCGTCACATATATTTAAAGTAATGGAACTTTAATACTCTGTAGAAGATATAAACTGATAGCATATATATGAAATCAAACCTAAAGATTTCTTGTATTTTGGTACGACACAAGTAACTCGGTGATTACCTACAATTGTAGAGGCAAAAGTGAATAAGTGTGCAATGGTTGCATTTTTAGTCTTCGGTTTCGTAACTTTTATATATATATATATATATGTATGTATGTATGTATGCATGCATGCATGCATGCATGCATGCATGCATGTATGTATGTATGTATGTATGTACGTGTTTAAAGATATTCTAAGTTTTAATTAAACTAATTATAAACGTCCATCGGGCATGAACCCTATATGCATGGTCATGTACGTGAGTTCAGTTATCTTCGGAATCTTTTTTCAGACCTAATGCTTTCAAGGTCAGGCCAACAACGTATACGTATTTTTTAGTATCTGGGTCTTGTCACCCAAGCTCGTATATGTATTTTTAGGCAACGAAAAGTAACAAGAAAATATACAAAAAGCATTGAAAATAGAACATATTTATCCAACAACAAAGTTAGGGACCGTTTACCAAACACTTACCCGGTAATCGCTTACCGGTAAAATTTAACACTACCACTTATTTACCGGGTAAGACTTTAGTCCACTAAAACCACATCGTTTGCAACAATTACCCAGCAAGCGCTTAGCATGGTAAGAGTCGTCGCCCTCGCTTATCAGGTAAGACTCTCGGTCCTTGTCTCCCTCTTGCCGGGTAAGATTTTTTGTCCTTACTATATTCATCCAGTAAGTTAATGTGACGTGGTAAGTCTTATCCGAGTAAGAGTTTGACAAACGATCCCTTAATTTATGTAATTTTTTAATTAAGATATTTTTATTTAATTCATGAATTTCTGCATTTTGAGTAGCAAATTAGCAAAGGATTTGACACTTCTTTGTAAATGGAGAAAAATATTAATTAAAAAATTGATGAAATTAATTTGTCATTTTTGTTGACTTCCATTTAGTCAATAAACTTCGATCTCATGGTTGGAGATCCAATGGGCATAAATCAAGGCAAAGAAGTCGCAGTACGTTTTGGGAATTACAATTTAATTTTTTATTTTTCTTAGGATTTTTATTGAAATTAAAATGATTTTTTATTCCAAGATTCATATTACCTAAAAAGTGGAGGTCCTTTAACTTCTTTCTACATCTAAGATGTCTATTAAATGAGTCTTTT